CATAATCTCAGTGCATTACTAACAAGAAAGAAGCAGGATACTAGCAATGGACAGACTGTATTTTTCTTTACCTAATATATATTTTTTGCATAGGAACTCTGCTCTTATTAAAGATGGACATCGGGATAGACAAAGTTGGTGATGAGATCAGAAGCCATTTAGATGTGTTCATATTTCAAATTCAACAGAAGTCTGGCCAGCAGATACAACTAAGAGTTTATGCAAAATGAATGGATGGTCTCATGCCAGTTTCTACTGGACACACATCCAGATGACAACTAGCAGCAGGTGGTACTCTGGTTGTGCAAATTCCACAGAAGAGCCAAGAACATGAACAGTCCATAGAATATGCTACTCTCACTTGTTAGACACAATCTCTTTAAAAAAAAAACCCAAAAAACCTGGGGATTGCTTTCTGTACTGGATGTCACCAGAGCATTTCATAAATGTGAAATTTACCTTGGTTTTGAGGACTGTGACCAGGACAGAGGTGTGTAAAATATGTATATGATGGGGTGCATCTGTTGTCACAGAAAGATGCCTGCTAATGAACACTGGAAGACTCCTCAAGCAGCAGTACCTTTAATTTACTACTGTCTGAAGAATTCAAGATGATCATAAAAACGTTCACCCCACATTCTACCTCCGTGCCGCACTACTTTAGCAGTCCATACCTGCTTTCATGCACTTTCAACTGCAATCAATTCCATAGAGGTCACGGACCCTTATGGGATATAGTTCCTTTCAGTTCCTTGGGAGCTGACAGGGAAAGGCCTTTCATTTAGAAAATCCAGTAACTAAATATTTAGTTTCAGAAACATTGCGCACAGGTTAGGTGACTCAGTAAGTAAACAGCATCCAGGGGATTTTCCGATACAGCTACACCTTCTAATTTAGTTAAGACACTTCCCTTCAGTTTACTCTTCAAACAGTAAAATCCAAGAGCATCAGGCAATATGGGCCAACAAATTAGCAGCAGACGTCACACAAGAACCACAGGGTTTCATGTAATATTTGGTGTATGAAATAGAAAAAAAAAACAGGCTGTTGACCCAGATCTCCCTATTCACATGACTGTACCTGTTCTGTCACTGGGCTATCTGTGGGCAGTGGGATTTTATTCTGAATCAGTCCTACTCGCACAATGTGCGGTGTCCTCAGCTGTTCCGCTGCAGCTTCAAATCCATAACCTTGTAGTTCAAAATCCTTCTCTCTTCCTGCGGATACAGCAGCAGCTGGCAGATTGAGTTCTCTGAAATCATACAGAAAACGTTTACGTGCCGAGATGTTCCCTGCTCTGCACCTGATATCAAGGGTCAGGACAGCAGGTGCCACCCCCAGAGGCCACCGTAACTCCCTGCTGCTGCACCTCAGTGCACAACTTTACAAGTGGCAGCAAAGCTCCCTGGAGCAGCGGCTCTCAACCTTTTCAGGCCCAAGGCCCCCTCCGTAACCCTTGTGAGTGGAGCGGCACCCAAATTCAAAACCGAGTATACACATGACCAGGCTCCTCTCCTAGCACTGGGGCTGAGGATCCACCAGGCAGGGACAAGCCTGTGCGTGGACTTATCTGCTTATCACCTCACACCTCGGGGCACCCTTCAAAGGATCCGTCTCGTTGAGAACCTAGGCCCTTGCCGCTTCTCAACCGCAGCGAATTCCTGCCCTTCCCGGATAACCCTGCGATACAGGCACCCCTGCCCCTCCCAGCCTCCTGGGGCGCACACCCCACCCAGGCCAGCTTCCCTGCACCCTCCTTCCCCGCTCAGCAGATCTAAGAGACCCCCACTCCCCGGCTTTCCCATCACCACGTGCCAAGCCCCGCCCCCGCCC